TTGAGACTTGGAGATAATTTAGGCACAGAAACTGACGAAGATGGTCCACCTAAAAAAAAGTCTAAAAGAGAAGATGAAAATGATGTTATTATGGAACAATATGTTAGTAATTTGTATATACATATGTATCATGATTAGATTTAACATAATAAATTTGCCTGGTATTTAGTAATTTCAATTTTTTCAGGTGGATTTTAATATGATGGCATTAACTGCAGATATTCCAGTAACTGTATCTGTTTTAGAAAAAAAAATTGGCACATTACTTTATTTAGAAAATTTAAAAAAAGAAAAAGAAAACTCTACTGAAGTTGATACATGTCCAATTTGTTGTTTGAATGGTGATGCAGGAGTATGTATAACACAATTAATTAGATGTAATTTTAGAATTATTAAATTTTAATTTTTGGTTAACAGTGGGCAGTCTTATTATGTGGTCATAGTGTGTGTAACCAGTGTTTAGCAACCATGTGTAATCATTCAGATGCCTTTGATATAGCTTGTCCTATGTGTAGGAACAATACCCCAATGGATTCTATATCTTATGTAAAAAATAACCGAGAAGGTGAAGTGTCAAACATAGTAATTAAAGGTTCTTTTTCTACTAAAATAGAAAGTGTAACTTTAAAACTAATGGAATTGATTACCCAGGATCCAAATGTAAAAGTCTTAATATTCTCAAATGTAAGTGTTATATTTATAGAATATTATATAGTGTCGCATGAATATTTTTTTTTTAAAAAAACAATACATGTTTTTCTCTTTAGTGGGATAAAGCATTAAATCTTCTTGGAGAAGCTTTAGAACAAAATTCGATCAATTTCAGAATACTAAAAACAGGAAATAAGTACAAAAAAACACTAAGAGATTTTAAAGTATGTAGAAAATTAAAATATAAATGTTAATGTTGATATACTATATCTATGTATATAAATATTTAAAATTATGAAAATAAAAAAGTATCATAAAATATTTAAGTATTACATTTTATATTTATTTGTTATTAGTCAAATAAGAAAATAAATGCATTATTAATGAAATTAAGCCTGGGTTCAAAAGGATTGAATTTATCTGAAGCAACTAGAGTATTTTTCATGGAGCCAATAATTAACAAAGCTGATGAGCTTCAAGCCATTGGGAGAATTAATAGAATTGGACAAACCAAGTATAGTTATTTATTATTAAAATCATTTGCTTTTAAAATAATTATTATAATAACATACATCAAAGGTAAACATAATACACATTTATACAATATGAATATTGTATAAATTTGTAATGTGTATGTTTATATTGAAATTATAAAATATAAAATAAAAGAATATATATTAATATTTATTACTATTATTATTTTTTAGACCTACATTTGTACATAACTTTATTATTCGAGATTCTATTGAAGAAAACATCACTAATGTATTTTCCGGTGCCATGCTTGATAGATGGGATGATATCACACTTTCTCAACTAATAAGAGTATTTGAAAGAAATGAATCTAATTCAATATTAGAGCCAAATAATGACATAAGAGAATAATAATTTAAATAGTTATTTACTATTATTCTATTTAACTATTAGTTTTATTTCATACGTTAAGAGTACAGTTCTTTAAATCTTTAATATTCTTAAGTCAGCTTTACTTTCTTTTTTTTTATAAGTATTAAATATTAAAATATATTTTGTTATTTATAAGAACATTTTTTTTTTCTGATAATAGATTCAGAATACTTTTTTTATGTTTTTTCAATTAATTGATTCTTTATTATAATTCTTCATATTATAAAACAAGTGATAATTATTTTTAAGATTTTTATATAAATTTCTTAGTTAAATTTAAGTATATTTTGTTTTTAAATTAAAAATAAATAAAATTTTACATACTAGTGTAAATATATAAATGACACAAATCACTCTTTTTATTTTTTTCTAGTCCGTAGATGATAGTCTGGTCAAACCTCTCTTGACAGAACCTCCAAATAGCAGACATTTTAAACTAAATTCTGACTATTCTAATTAAACCCCTTGTATAATTTTCTCATACTATTATAATGTTGAATTTATTATTGTTTTTGATTCAATATATTGTATCATATAATTTGATTTAAATTGTTTTATCCTTTGCACCTTCACCATAAAACCATAATTTAACCTCTTGTCATGCTCAACGACACAGAAGTGTTTGTCAACAATGAAATTTAGTACCTACTGTATACGTGTACTTTTCTTGACAGTATATTTATAAATATAGTAAATACACTAAAGAGCACAAGTGAGTTGGTTAGTTAAGATAATTAAATAATAACTACATAAGTACATTTTAATTGCATTATTTAGACTTAAATATATACAATATCATAATAATTTATTATTCAATTTATAACCTTAGCGTTTTACAGTACCTACATTGTTTTGCAAACATGTGCTCAGTTTTATTAGTTAAATGATTTATTCATATATATTATTATACTGTAATGGATAAATGCCTATTATTATACACCCTATCGAAAAGGGTGACGTTATCACCATGTATTGTCATAAAATAATTTAAATCATTCACTGTTCATTGTTTCCAAAAGGCGACAGCCTCTTTCAGATTGTTGGCCGTCAGCACGCGAATAGATTCCTTGCGCTGAACGCAGTCGCTGCCACTCATGCATATACTGTACTGCCGTCGCGTCTCCCGCTGTCAAAGATCATACGGTTTGTCTTTCACAAGCCACTGATTCCAGTACCTGAGGACAGTGGTACGTCGTGAACAGAGATGAGTTGTAAGTGAAGAAGATTCAGGGGTGGCTATGAAGATGGACCATGAGTGGTTAGAAAAGATAAACCATGGGTTGCGAGACGAGGAACGACAAGTTGTGAACGATGAGAGGCAAGGTTAGATTAGGTTAGAAAAAAAGTTCGACGAGTGACAGGAGAATAAGGACGACCAGGTTAGACCAGGTGGAGCAGAACAATTCTGATTAGTGCTTCTACGGATATAGTCGATGGACATTCGGGTGGCCAGATGAGCATCGCTGTCAGGACGACATAAACGGACATTCGCTAAAGTCACTATCGCTGCGATCATCACACGCCCTATGGCCACTGCCACTTTTTATCGTTTCGATTATCGTAATTTCTTGTTCTTTCAAAGGTGACTTGCCGGTCGACTCTTCTTCTCTTAGACTAGTCATTTTTAGTTTTTGTAAAATGCTACTGGTAATCAATTTCATTGTCATTCCTAAATGTAAAAACAAGTTTGATAATAAAAAAAGGGTTCCATTCTGCTGTACAAATAGCCATTAGGCGTCCATTTAGTCGAAAAAAAACGAAATATTTTGTATATTATGCTTATTAGCTGCTTACAGTATTTTGTTAGGTCATTTTTAATTATTGACAAGGTTAGGATATAAGTATATCATGAAGACAATTTTTAATTCATCAGTTACTTTTCATTCTCATTTTTTTGTAATAAACAGTGTAAAGAGTTATTTGTTACTAGTTTTTTTTTCGTTATAAAAATCTCAAATCGATAGGTGTGCATAAGATTCATCAAGCACTTTCAAAACTACTATAGTGCCCTGTTTCATACTTAGATGTCATTCCACTCGTTTTCTAAATCAAACGCTGCTTGATCGCGGTCTTTATTTATGTACTTCTATAGAGTTTTGCACTATCACGACAATGCGAGCCATGTAAATACGGAACAAAATAGGTAGCTAGGGTTATACGGTACGTCCCACCGATAATTGATTTTCACTCTATTCATTTCAACAATAAAATCGTAATCGGATGGAGACTACCTTCGATGTTGAGAATATCCATCATCATCTGCAATTAGCGCTTTTTCAGAAAGTGGACGTGGGTGATACTTCGTACTTGACGCACGAACCGTCGAGCATACGTGGTGATTTTATAATTAGATTTCTACTTTCTACATGGGCCGTAAACCATGGTAGACTATGCAATGTCGTGAAATAGGGGGTCAAGTTCAGGATCAGGAATCTCTACGCTTATGAACTCTGCTAAGGTTAGTAGCTATGATTCTGTCTCGTAGCCAAATCAGTATAATATGATCTAAGGGCCACACTCCTGTTTTTGCTTCTCTACGGGCCAGTGGGCAGTGACGCCTACTGGGACTGCAGAAAATGGCATCTTTTAAAAGGAGATGAATGTATTTATTAATTTTTGAACGAAAACATCAATGTGATCCACGATTGTCTTAAAATTAAGACAAAGATAAGTGTAACAAATATAATAAAATTTCTCGAATAAAACTGAATCAATAAAAACCATTAATAATAAACGAACAATCATAACATGATAATAATATGGTTATTATAGTCAGTTCTATACATCGGTTAATGGAAATTTAACAACAAATATACCTATGATGTTAATAAAAAATATAAAAATTATGAATTGACGGTGAACGTTTTAATACGGTTTAACAAAAATAAATTGTTAAATAAACAATAATAGATATAGTTTATGAAGGTAAAATAATTTTTACATTATATTGTATGTCAATTGTCAATAAAAACTGTAATTGTGCGCGATGTGGGATGTTGGTGTGACATTGTGACGGTGTAGTTACTATAGTTGGGATGTGTTTTTTTTTTTTAATCAATATCATAGGGGACTTGAGTCACCCCAAACAATTTGGTCTATTTGTATGGCACACCATAGCGGCCGAACACGGAACAACCAATTACAAATAGGTAGTACACAATAATTAATTATTAACAACATATAAATACCTACTTATGGAACAATAACATTTTGTCGTTGTTGCCGTGACCTTGAACCAAAACATTCTTGAACGTAAACGTAATAATCCCGATTATAGGTCATGCGGACAGTGGATAAAAAAATAATAACATTACAAATATTATGTAATATATATCTACAACAGCTGTGTTAAATGATAACAGTCTGTCTCTGTTTTTAGTTTTTAGTTTTTTTTTTTTTTATCCGCTCACGCTTGGATCGCATTATTATAGTGATTACAGATCTATAAGCTATTGTCTATTCATCGTTTATCCATTTCCCCGTGACAACACGTTTGTGACTGTTCCACTGAACGACAATCAGTTTCAACTAACAAACGATAAAATACCGTCCACGTTATAAAACTACTGCTTCTCAGCAATATTCAAGTATTGACTTGTAAACATCTAACACAGAATAGATCCGTCCTTCGAGGGTCGAGGTTTCCAGTGGATTTCTACATATACAAGGTACGTGCCCATAATTGATTCATAGTAGGTATTATTAATTATTACGATACATTTATTCGTACGTGATTTTTTTTTTCGTAATCGGTAGATTAAAAAAATCGTGTTCAAAACGTGACATATAATTGTTTTTATCGCGTCGCAGATTACTCTGCCCTGACATGTGTATTGGAATGTTTCAATTTTATTTCATTATTTTCTTTGTGTCTGTCAGGTTAGAAACACAAATTTGACTGTTTGACTGTTGCAACTGCTATAATTCGTATCCGCCGCAGAAATCATGTACTCATCATATCAAATTTTGTTGGCCATCGGAATGGTCGTTACTGGATCCATCAATACGCTCAGTGTCAAGTAAATCCAATGTTATTAATTAATAAATAGTGTCATACCCATCACTGTCATATTATGTTTAAATCCTGTTAAGTTCGCTTTGCCCACATACCATTTAGATGTAAATCAATCATTTGATATTTAATTTATAACGTATTGGTGTCTTGAGTTAGGTGCCACAGTTAATGGCTAATTGATAATTTGCTTCAGGTTGACTTTTGACCTGTTATTAAATGATAATTGTACTGCTGTTCATGATGTGTGTACAACTTTCAATTTAATGAGAAATTGTACATAATTCAACTTTATGGTTCAGTTTATAGTAATATTTGTTAACTTTTCTCAACAATTTTTTTGTTGAAGGTTATTAAATATTTTTGAGACAATATAATATATTTTAAATGTTTCTCATAAGTAAAAATTGTACACTTATTTTTTTTTTTTTTTTGTACAATATTATATAATGTAACATGACAAAGCATTAATCTATTTATAGTTTGATAATAAAGAAATTGTTTCATTTATATAGTCATATTTGTATGTCTACTTCAAGTCTAAATTAATATTACAATTAAAGATTATTTTTCTTTTTATTATTATTATTATTATTGCATAAAATAATTATAATAATTGTAAATTTGAGTTATTATTTCTTAAAATATAAAAATTTGTTTTTAATTATAAAGTATTTGAGCACTTGTTCATAATTATTATTATATAGCATGAATATCATGAATAGAGGAAAGCAGAAAGCATCCATTAATGATACTCCATAGTTTAAATTAGTCTGATACCTAATTAAATGTTGAAGACTATTTTTGATTTTCTATAGTTATGTTATATTTATGTATACTCTGTTTCTACTTTATCAAGTTTATTTAAATGTAAACTTTTACATAATTATGCATGTCATTGAACTAATGGTACAAGGTTATAACATGTTTTATTTACACAATGGCAAAATGACAAAGTATCCAATGCACATATAAAAAATAATAATGAACTAAACATAGAAAAAATTGTGATATTAGTGAAAATTACAGTTTTTAGATTCATAGAGATTACTAAACACTAATTCATTACCACGTATAAACTATAAGTGTATAGGGATAAATAATTTATATAACGCCTATTTTATTTTATTCATAAAGCTACAAATACTGACTACTATAATTATGTAGTATGAAGATTAAATGAAGAGTTAATTTTTATATTATGATTTAAACAAATATTTACTATTTTATTGTTTGTATTCTTTCATTAAAAACGGTAATAGTTTATATTATTATATCTAATTACATTAATTTATGTTTGTTAAAATGTAAGAACTGCATACACGTATTAGATTATATGTAAAAAAACTACAGTGCCATGGCTAATTTGAAAATTTATAGATGTGTAATTTTACCCAATATATATATTCATATGTATATTCCTCTTTTCATATCAATATATTAATATATAACCAACCAGAAATTTACACTCAATAAAGTAGTTGTTTTTCAAAAATGTTTCTTCTCCACAAAAATGAATATATTGTTTAATATTATATTATGTAATTATTGGTTTAGATGGGCTGATAAACTTCAAGCTAAAGGTTCAGATGATAAGGAACGTAGTTTTAACCACCCGTTTTTTCAATCATTAACCATGTTTTTTGGAGAATTTTTGTGTCTATTATTCTTCAAATTGGCATATAGATATCATTTAAAAAGACAAGTAAGTATACATTTCAATTATAGAATTTTTAAATAATTTTAATTACACTTTCGTTACAGTATTCCATTGAGGACAGTCCAATAGTTAAAGGCAACCAACATTTCAATCCATTTTTATTCTTTGTCCCAGCAATGTTTGATATGGTAGCCACTACACTCATGTACATTGGTCTCACAATGACTTATGCATCTAGTTTTCAAATGTTAAGAGGTATTATTGTAATCAGCTTAATATTACAATAACACCATTACAATTACTGAAAATATAATAATATTTTCAATCAGATGTGTTGTTTCTATCTTACACGTACAGAACATATTCTTATTGCAGTTAGTTTATAGTCAATATTAAATCAAATCTAATTATTACCAAATTTGTAGAAAAGAATTTAAATTGTGTCCAAGCAAAATTTTTTTTTCAAAAACATTTTATTGTTTTAAAAAAAGATGTATGTAATAAAACTTTTTCGGACAAAATTCATAATATTCTTTTTAAATTTAACATTAAGTATTTAAATTTGCTGCGTTGCACATATGTAAGACAGAGACTACACATCATATGAGTGTAATGTACTCTTAATAGATTTTGATTTATAATCAATAAAATACATTGTTTATTTTTTATAAAGGTGCTGTAATTATCTTTACTGCTATATTTTCAAAAATTTTTGTTCATCGACAAGTATCTATTCGTCATTGGTTGGGCATTTTTACTATAATAATTGGATTAGCAACAGTTGGTGCATCAGACTTATTATCATCATCTAAATCATCAACAAACTCTGTTAATGAAATAATTATTGGTAATAAACTAGAATATATTGATCCTTTTTGAAAAATAAGACATTCCAATATCAAATAACACATCTATTATTTACTTTTATTTTTAGGTGACTTGTTGATCTTAGCTGCTCAGATTTTAACAGCTGCCCAAATGGTGTACGAAGAGAAATATGTTGTTACAAATGATATTCCACCTTTACAAGCTGTTGGTTGGGAAGGTATTATTATTCTATATAATTTAATGATGCCTGATTATACTATATAATTGATTATCCTTAATAATATTTTTCACATATATATAACAAATATACACATTACCTAAGCAGATCAATAATAAATAATTTAAAAAGTAGCTCTCTATAATTATTATAGAGAGGTACTTTTTGTGCATTGTAAGAACATAAAAACTAAATATTTAAAAGATCTATTTTCTAGATTTTTTTAAAAGTATTTCTGGATTTATTCTTCATTGCAGAAACAGACTGGGTCCCTATCGGCATTGTATTCTCAAAAAAAAAAAAATGACTAACCAAATAATTTTACCTCCTATTTTTTAGTTTTTAAGTTTTTTGTTAAATAAAAAGTATATTTATATTTCTTTGTTGTATAATTTAAGTTTTTACCTTAAATTTTATTGCTACATAAGATAAAAAAATTTCTTTCAATAAAATTTCAAAAAAAATATATTAATAGTAATAAATGATAATTTATCAACAACTATTATTTAACATAAACTTTTAGTATGATGCTCTTAATAAAATAAGATAAGTGATATGGTTGTTTATTTTGAATATGGAATATTAGTTACAATTTTAGTAAAAAGTAGTATTTTATATTAAATCAAAAAGTGTAATTATTTATATTTTATTTATACCAACAATATGCAACACATAATTGTTAGTGGGGTATGCTATTGCTGCTATTGCTTATATGTAATATTTCACACTTGTCCTTTAGATATCATCACCAATACCTCTTTATTGTGTTCAGTTCACTCCTGTTACATCTTCTGCATAGCCTTGCGATAATAAATTATAATTGAAGTATGAAAAATATTTATATATTTTACTTATTTAAGGTGTATTTGGATTCCTGATTATGAGTTTGCTGTTAGTACCATTTTATTACATCCATGTTAGTCCCCCGCTTGCTGGTAATAACTCTCGTGGAGTCATTGAAGATTTTCCAGAAGCTATTATTCAAATAATGAACAACAAGTGGATTCTGGTTGCATTAATAGGTAAATTTTTATGATTAATACATTATAATTTATGATTGCTAATATTGTTATTCTTATGTGTTTTACTTTCAGGAAACATAATAAGCATTGCTTATTTCAACTTTTCCGGTGTAAGTGTTGCTAAGGAAATATCTGCAACTACTAGGATGGTATTGGATTCTGTTCGAACATTTTTCATTTGGATTTTTTCGTTAGCTGTTGGCTGGCAAACATTTGATCCACTTCAGGTAGTATTTTATTATTTTAATCATAATTGTACCACATTGAAAGTGTTTAAGTTAAGTAATAGTTCATCTTTAATAAATAATAAAAAATAAAAATATATTAATGTTTATTTATAATAAATTATATCTTTATAGCCTGTTGGTTTCCTGTTGTTGCTTATCGGCATGTGCATTTACAATAACTTATTGAGAGCTGTGCCTAGAAGATTGAGAACTGTTGTACACTATCCTACTGATGAACCTATTATTGGAGGACAACCGTAAGAATATTTGTTCTTCTATAAATGTTCAAACATGACTATTTTCAACAAGTTATATCAAAATAAGGAGCTAATAGATGAACTGAACGTTAATGCACTTAATAGTATGTTTTTATGTTATAATAATGTAGCATAATTAATTTAATTTAATTACTCATACCATACTCGTTACATTGAATAGATTACTACTAAACCAAAATATAATATGATATGATAAATATATATATATTTGTTAGTATATTTTATATTCAATGTTTTTTTAATTAAATATTGTATAAATTAGAACTATAAATAATTGTAGTTAAATTAAAACTGCTTTAGTTGACTCCAATATACCAAGTAAAAGTGTTTTCAATATATTATAGTTCCTTATAATTATTTTTTAGGATATTATTGTTTTATAACTAAATTATTATTACTCATAGATCTTTCATTTGGTGATTTTGCCATCTACAATTAACAATATTTATTATAATTTATATTAATAAATATTGATTAAGTTATTTGTTATAGTAATTTTATTGAACTTTAAAATATATATTTTTATTATGTTTAATTTTTATGATTAATCTAAAATAGTTGTATTTTATTAATTAAAATTCAATAAATATAGTGCCAGACTTTAAAATAATATTTATATGTATATTTATTTTCTCATGTTATTTTAATTGAATGACTTCCACAATATCATTACCTATTGTAACTTTTGTAATCAATTATACAAATACAATGACACAAATTTTATATAAACATAGTTTTGGATAAAAAAAATAACATTATGAGTGTTTAAGGACACACAAATGACATTCATAATTACTGTGAAAATGTCCTTAGAGCTGTTTATCAAAGAATCATATCAAACGAAAAATAAGATGTGTGCAGAACCACATTTTAATCTTCAAACAATAATTATTGTAGTTGCAACTTACAATCATGTTATAAACAATTTATGGATTCCATATGGCCGAATAGTATTTGAGAATTGAATAAACAAATTAAAATTATAATCTTTTGATTAATTGCTCAAAGTATTATTAAATACAATATAATATTCTAGTATAAATATAAACTGCTATATTTAATTAATAGGAAATAATTATTATTTTATGTATAAAAATGAATAAGTAATAATTAAAAATATTTTAAGTGTAAAAGAATATAGTTAATGGTGGATTTTTATTCCGGGCTTGCTAACTGTGTCGTTACAATGTGTTGACTTTGAAAAACCTTACATGCATGTAGTTTTTATTGTTATTTTATTTATGTTAATAATATATTACCTCTCATTATACTAGTAATTTAAATATAGCTGAACGAGCTGATGCTACATATTAATGCGAAAAATATAAGTATATACTGTTACATTTATTTACTTAAATAGTTATATAAGTAATTATTTTTTAAATAATGTAATTTATCATTTTGTTTTTATAGCGTAAGTAGCAGGTGATTAGTGTAGCATATTTTATTGATTACCTATTAAAGAGTCTATGTAGATGCTAACTGCTAGCCATTTATGATTTTAAGTTTTTTTTTATGTTGTTAAGGTGACAGTCGATGAACCCAACCACGGCAGCTCGTATATTTTAAATCGTAGGTCACCACCTGTGCGGTGTATTTAAATTGTGTTCAAGAAAAATGAAGATAATAATGATAATATAATTAAATATTGGGCGACTATAGAGTAGAGCAGTAGGAGTATTTCCCATTTGAAATTAGGTATTTTATATAAGGTGAGGTGAATGTTGGTTTCCGTTTATTAGAAAGGTATCCATTACCTAGCTATAGTCGAATTAGTTCCTAGTTTTCCTACCTAAGATAGTTCGTATTTTATACACACATTTTTATTCCCATTTTCTAAAGTTTAAGAAGGTATAAATTCTAACCCGGGCATAATTAAATTACAACAGGTATAAATAAAATAAAATAATTTAGTATGCTTATTCAATTTTGGTGTAAATTTGTTAAGTATTCCATTAACACGTAATCTCTCACTTATACAAATTTTAAAGTATCGATTCATTTTAGATTTTGAGTGGATTAATTAATGTACCTACTTAAAAATATATAATTTTTTATCATGATTGACTTTTACATGACATTCACAGGTGTGAAGTGGGTAAAGTCTTACATTTTCATATACTTATATAATAAGAAGTTCATTGACAAGAACCACTTTAAGACTATAAAAACGCATACCTAATTAATAATTTTCCTAACATTTTGAGAAGGAGTGAACCCCTAAATTCTCTTTCTTATGTATGCATCTAATCACTTATCATTTTCAGAGCAGAAAAAATGCTTCAAGTTACAATTTTTAATGTGATTTCTGGTAGCAAATTATATTTATTGTTAGTACTTGATTATATTGATGAATGGAATAGTCACAAAAAAAAAAAAAAAATATATTAAAAATGTGTTGATTATAATAAATTAAATAAAAGTTAAAAGAAGCATTTATAAATTTATATTTCACTGTAAAAATTACTACATATATATATAATAATAACTTGAAAAATATTTTGAATAAATTTCATTAAATATATAAATTTAAAAAAATATATATTAGGTTATTTTTAAAATACCTCTTGACCATATTTTTACTTTTGACCTATTTGCTTTAAGAAATTAGGAATATCTAATTTACCTTCAGCAAGACGTTGACATGAAATATTTAATCAAACTTCCATTTATTTATCAGCTTTTTTTTTCCCCTGATTAATCTCTCTTAAGTCTTATTTGAGCTAGTACTATTCTTGTCCTGTCGGTTCCAAAATTTTAACATATTTTTGTTAGTAATTTTCAAGTGTTAAGATATTTATTACCAACAATACCAACAAAACGGGAAATCTATTATTTCAGCCTTCATCATAATCATTGATAGTTCTGTACGAATTTGTTGATAGAGTTGTTATATTAATAATTCATGATTTCATGATTCTGATACAAATAACGGTTTTATTCTTCTTAAAATTCAATTGTTTGTTTTTCTAACTTTCTAAATTTAATGGATTTTTGAGAAAACAATGTATTCATTCTTCTTCTCCAGTTGGATAGGTAATTTTGTTTTAAATAATTCATCCTTTCGCTTATTATAAGTACGAGATGAAACCCATACAAGTAATATACCCTTTAATAAGCACCGTAAAACCAATTCATGAAAATAAAAAAATTACCATCGTTTAAATTATTACCTAATTCAAAATTCGTATTCTTTTGGAATGATGTAGTAGAGTACTAAAGTGGACACTTCAGAAGCAATTTATTACCGATGTCAATTTGACATTTGTTAGGTTGTTTCTCTGGTTTATTTATTTGTATAGGTACATACTTAACCACTACCATTAAACTATTTAAATCTTACGGTTATTGCACATCATATTTTATTATCATATAACTCATAATTGAGTTTCAAAATAATCAAACAATCCTAATTACACAGTACAGCGATGGTATTGACTTATATATCAATAATAAAAATCGAAAAATATATGATAAAATATTTAAAAAAATATGAGATGTTATTTTAGCAAAAATTAATTCAACATATTAATTACTAATATAAAAATAAATTAATAATAGGTACATGTTAAGTAATGTAAAGAAATTATAAAATATCATTAGAAATATAGACTGACCTACAGAATCGTTTTTTGTATACAATGATTTATCATTGAATTACAATTTTAATACATCCATTGTAATAACTAATAACCTACTCTATGACGATACACCTAAAAGTCAAACCCTGCTGATAGCAGAGTCAGATATAATTTATAATTTAGATCTATAAAAATAACTGCTCTTTTTAAATTGCAATACCTAATAAATAAGCACTGTATTACATTATTTCAAATTTAAAAAATATCAAAAATATTTATAAAAACGTATCTGATAGTTTAAAAATATTTTAATATTTGTATTCGAATACCTAGTTAACAATATTGCTTAAAACCCACTTATTATAGCTATTCGTTTATTAATTAATAAAAATTATTTGCCTATAACATCATATTATCATAAATCATAATGTATACTATAAATAGATTAAATAATTAGATGATATTATATTATGCGTTGTCTTTATGAGCCTTTATAATGAATTATGTTTAGAAATTGGTTGAATGAAATAAATATATATAAATTAAATATATATTTTCTCATAATATTATCTGATTTATAGCAGACGTAATGTAAACGCTGAAAAATCGTATAAAGGCAAGAGGCAAGCATTTTCTTAAAATTAACCCCGATTTTACAGTGTAAACATCTAATTAAAAACATGTATACAAACATTATGTAAATAATTAAAATAAAGTAAAAAATTAACTAATAAAATCAAATATTTAAAGGTATTTGTTCAATAAGTTATCAAAATGTTATTTTATAAATCTGTTGTTGACTTATTATTGGGATTTTTTTTTGTGTTAAAACGTGTTTAAAATAATTGTGTATGTAAAAGCATTTATATTTTGACATAGGGACCTTGAAGGGGAGGTATAGAGAAAATATGTATTACCAAATCTACTTAAGATAACCAACCAAACATCACTCGTTGTTTGATGGAATAATAATAATCAGCAGACGTTTAAGGTGCAGTACACACAATGATCGCAATTCGCAAATGAATGTTTACCTTTTGGAAATTTGCTGAATTTTAAAACGTATATAATTTTTAAACAATAATATAAGTTATAACTAGCAAATGCATAAAACATTTGTAGGTTAGTGAGTAGTGACATTGATTAATGTTCAAATAAATAATAATTTAATCTTTATTAAAACTCATTTCACTATTTTCGTATTTATTACCTGTATCATCAGCATACAATTATTAAGTATCACGATTAAAGAAACCAATAAATAAATTCATATAACCTTTTATGTTAACTATCAGAGTTTAAAAGTGAATCTACACATAAAATGAAAATATATAATTTTTAAAAGTGTTCTTACTGTTCTTATTATAATAAAATAATCAAAATTCATTGAATTACAAATACATGGTATATATATATACACACACACACTTTATTCACACTAATTAAAATTAAAATCGATCAGATCTGTAATTAATATGGGAAATTAGGAACACATCATACCTCATTCAGTACTATTATGCATAATGCATCAACTTTAAAATAATTTCATGGATTAAATTTGATTTATTGGTCGGTTCAAAGGAATGTTATTGAAATTACATATATATTAATATATTATATACTGCTATCTGTTGCTCATGTAAAAAAAGGTAATAATTTATGAATATGTAAAAAAAAAAAGGATAAGTCATTTGCTTAAATTCCAATAAAATTATGTTTTAATCAACTTATAAATATTTCAATAAATTATTTTTTTAAACATAATAAGAGGAGGAAGAAAGTAAGAGTGGTATTGGTCCACTTTTCACAAGTCACAATGAATATTTAATACAGTAATATTGACAGCACGCTAATATTTAATAAAATGAACAAATAAATGTATACTATGTACATTTAAAAGTATCAATAAAACATTAAAACATAAGACTTAATTAAACTTTAAATTACTTTATACTTGAGATATCTTATTCACATTGGGAAAACTATATTGTTATTGCATTGTTATGTTATAACTTATAATGTCACTAGATAATATATACTACATAGGTACCTTATTAGTATAATCACTATAATCACAGTATATCAGGAAAAATTATTTTTGTACTTAGAAAAACTTATTTCTGTCTTCATTTCTGCGTAACTATACCTATGATATTATCATACGTCTATTATGAATATTCTTGATTACACACAATTTGGCAAACTTTTAAGTTATAACTTATATATATAGTAAGGCGCCACTATGTCCGTAAATGTGGTAGGTACATAATATTTTAATATTTATGGAAGTAGATATCTATAAAGTAATGGGTAACTAATAATAATTGCTTTGATGGCTATTTGCGGTTACGTAACAAGTAAAAAATGTAATAAATTATTTATTTGATATCATATATAATTATTATATGAATTCATTAATTTTTATTAGGTAGAGACTTTAATTGCTGAAATCAGAGCGATTGATAATAGTGAATAGTGAAAATGAAAAATAACAATAATAATAATCATTATAATAATATAGCACCCGGTGTGATAACCGTTTGATAACGGCCGGAGGAGGCATCATCAGCACGAATTTGGCGGAAATCGAATAATATAATATATTATTATGTCTAAATCAAATTCAATATTTGGATTGGTCTTTCGATCATTTCCAATTTCACCATCGAGGAACACATTCGTGGCTCGGACAATTCGACGTCGTACGTTCAACACCAGCTATAGCGCCACCACCGACGATATGACAGTTGATATACCCACGACAGATGACAAGTCAAAAACGACAACTACCGAAACTGCTTGGGCATCGAAAATGGTTGCTTGGCAAGCTCACTCGTACAGTTCCATAGACGATTTGGTACTAACCAGTAACGCCCGGTCGCCGACTATGGTGGCGGCCAATGAAGTGTTGGTGCGTGTCAAAGCTTCGTCAGTCAACCCACTCGACGTACTCATGACCGGTGAGTGATGGAAAAAAAGGGTAGCTCAGTGGCTATGTAACCTTTGTAAAATACTATTATTATTTTCACCGTTTCATGGATTTTAGGGGGTTTTGGTCAGGTACTGTTGAGCACCATCCGCCAAGCTCAGAATATGTCTCTGCACAAACCTGTTGAGTTTCCGCTAACATTAGGGCGTGATTTTTGTGGAGAAATCATAGCCAAAGGGGTAAAAGTCAAGAATTATAATGTTGGTGATGTGGTCATGGGTGTAGTGCCTCCCTTTCATCAAGGTTGTCATTCAGAATTTGTCGCTGTTCCTGAAGGTCTGGTACTGTACAAAACAATATTAATCATAGGTTTTTAACAAGTATCCAGTGTTTCATGACTGACAATGTTTTTTTAGGTAGCTAAGAAACCAGATCATTTGACTAAAGAAGAAGCAGCAGGATTTCTGTATACAGGCATGACTGCTTGGTCTGCTTTGAAATTGGTTGGCGGCTTGTATGTTATGAAAGCTACCAACAAAAATGTACTCGTCATTGGTGGATCTGGAGGTGTTGGTAATTGTGCTATACAATTATTAAAGCATTGGGGTGCTAAGGTATTGTATCATTTATGTTTATAATTTTTTTTAAGTAAAGATATTTCTTATTTAACTGTTTAATTTTTATTCAGGTAACTACAACATGCGATTCAACTGCAATAAACTTAGTGAAAAGTCTTGGACCTGATAATATTATAGATTATACAGCTAAAGATGCAAATCAACAATTAGAAGAACATGGAAAGTGTGTATACAACATTATATTTATAAATTATTACTAAGAAAATGTCATACATGCATGTATTATCTCCATTTTATTAATATATTTGTTATTAATTTGTGTTCAGCAGAATCTATTTTGTGTTAGTTTTAATATTAGAGTAAATTTACTTTTTATCAAATTTAAAGGTAATAATATAATACAGGGTATTTCGTAAAGTTGTATTATTTTACTTAGCTATAACTCACTTTAAAATTATAATATTAATTAAACTCTTATGAGATTCCCTAGATTAAATTCTTGTCTTTAAGTTTAATAAAGATTAAGTTTAGTATAATATTAAAGCTAACAACATAAAATGGATTTTGTTGAACATAAAATTTTCCATGCTATACATTAGTAAAACTGCAATAGTACAGCAGGTATGACATCATATTAATATTATAATTATATTGAATTTAAATTCTAATATCAATAATATAAAAAACAATATTAAAAACATTGTTAAGAGTATTGTAGTGTTTGAATTATTGTATTTATAACATTATTTGATATTTTTTTAATTTTTAATTGAGTTGCAACTAGGTACTGCTAAAAACTAAAATAATAATCCTAATTACATATTTATTTTATTTCAGGTATGATCTAATCTTAGATGCAGCAGGAATATCATATAATAAAATTGGTTCTTATACACCTTTGTTAAAAGAGTGGTCTTATGCTGCTTTTATTACACTTCGCAGTCCCATTTTACACAACACAGATTCATATGGCTTAGTGGGAGGCATGGTTAAAAATGCAATTGACTTTCTAGTTCCAAACATTTTATCTGGAGCAGTATTCAAAGGTTCTACAATACGGTGGGGTGCTTTCATTCCAGTTGAGTGTGGTGTAAAAGAACTTGCTAAGTTAGCTGAAGAGAAGAAAATTTTAATTCCTCTAGAAAAAACTTTTAAATTTATAGATCTTAAAGATGCATACAAAAGAGTACAAGACGGACATCTAAGAGGCAAAGTTGTTATAACTTTTGATAAACCTAGTTTGGAAAAAGCTAGATTAACTAATTAAGTGTTATTTATTATAGTTAGATTCTCTTTTGATGTTTACCATATTGAATATTTATCAATCATTATACACAATTTTGTTATTTGTTAATAGTCTTAAAATCTATTTATTTTCATGAATATAATTTTTCTGAAAAATATTCCTAATAATAATAAATTAGTATTAGTACTGTTAAACCTAATTATTTGTTTTAAAGTTAATATTATTATTAAATTGTTTTTAGTTTTATAAAAAAAGTTATTTTAACTATTTAAATTTAAATTGTTGAAAATAAATAACTTTAGGTTTAATTTTCTTGTTAAATTTCAAAACTGCTACTCAAATTTCTTAAATAATAATAAAAAAAAAAATGCAAATTGCATAAAATAATCAATTTTACAATTATAAATACCTTGAATGAATAAATCATTATTAATTACTATGTATACATGTACATGTATATACTATAATGGCATATTAGTTTTAGGTTAAAATTTATTTTGGATAAAAACATTTATCTGATAATATATATATTCTGAATTGCAACGGGCAACGATAAAAAATAATAAATTTTAAATAATGGTTCAGTGAGTACTTATGGTTTTTAGTCAATTAGTTATTAGTACCTAAGTATTCATGTAACTTAACATTTTAATTAATTTTTATTATATTACAATAATACAATAAATTATTGCACTTTGGTAATATACGAATTTTAAGGGACTATTTATTAGACATATCATAGATTTAGGATGTAATTTTTTTTTTAAATCACGGTTAATTTTTAATAATTTTAAGCTGATCTAGATAAGTTTTTAGGTATCAATATTTAATATTAATAATGTAGTAATGGATTTATTTATGCAGTTACGCATAATACGAGTATATTATTACACTTACCTTGTCATTAACCTTGGAATAAAAATTAAAATATATCTTTCGCGCCTAACCACGAACATAGTATTAACATGTTCCAAAAGCATATTAAAGAAATGTTTTTCTAAAAATAACAGTATTTCTTCAATCCTGTTAACCGTGGCTAAATAAATATAAATATATTTAGTCATCGGATTAGCCCTGGCGCCCTGCTCGTATGCACTTTGCATACCACGGTCTTTGAACATATCTTATCACACTTAATTGTTATCAAATATCAATGTATTATATACATTTTGAATTATTATTCTTTGATAAAAATAAAAGTATAAGTTCAGAATAAACGAATTTTTTTATTTATCGCGTTGATTGGAGATTTTTCATTTCAACTTTCATGTAAGTTCGTTTTTTATCTTAAATTTTCCTCCAATTGTAATACACTGCTAATAGTCAAGTCATGTAGACAATAACATCATAAAATTATAATAAGTTTAGATATTATATAATTATGAAATAATATCCATACGATCGTACCTTTAGATTAATACCTACATAAAACGTAAATTATTATTGAATAATATTGTTATTTAAATTGTCCTTATCGGCTTATCTGTGACTTAACGTCTTAATATCAGGTTGTATTTATACGTTTTTAATGTAATGAACCAATCAAGAATTATGGTTCATTAAATCATGTTTAAAGAACCATTATTTAGTTCAGTATTATTTTAATTAAATAATAAATATATAGTGATTTATTTATAAAACAATTTCCATTATTCATTTCGGAAGAAATAATGCAATAGTATAATTTATAGGTATATTATAAAATTATGTAATATTTAGTTTTACGAGAAATAAAAATATTGTAATGAAGCATGTTATATTATATATAGGTACATGATAATATGTACTTAATGTTAATTTCAATAATATACCTATATGAACATATTGGTATAAATTAATAATATATTATATAGTTTAATTGGTAATAATTATATCATAAATAATACCTATCTTATTTAATGACTGCAGCGGCTTATAGTAGGTACTCATATTATGTATCTATAATAAATGCCTATCTAATTGTCTATCCGCGTTACCTACGTTCTAGCTTTGAATAGTATAATTTACATGATCACGTGAATAATATTATGATTATTAGAATTTTTATAGGCAAAGTGATTTTATTTTAAAACTACATTTAGTATTTACAAATACGCGTATGTAGCCATACAGGTACCTATTATTATTTATTAGATATTACTTATTAGTTATAGGTAGGTTTATTGTCGTAATTCATTTCTTGATGCTTATTTTATTATTTATTATAAACTGTTCTCTAATGTTCGGTTTGTCACAATTGTAATACTATAAATTTTATTGAATGACGATAACGAAATATTACATAACACAAATTTAAACACAATATTTATAAACATAAATAATTGTTTTTAACATTTTAGATGCTTAGTGTTTAATTTATATGTTTCTATAAACACATTTTTAACAATACGATTATCGTTACTTTTTATATTGCGATAAATAATCTATAAGTGAGTATAATAAAGTGAGTATTTATTTTATGTTAAGGTACAATTATTGTAATTTGTAGAGTAGGGATAGGGTGAAACCATGTAACCAAGAGTTATATATTCTTGTACATAATTCGTTTTTTATCATAAACATTAAATATTAAACGTTTAAGTCAGTATTGAGTCTAAAATACAAATTGATTCGTCTTTAATATTATCTACTTAGACGCATGTGAATGTGACGCCACTTATCGAAACTAAATTTATCTTAATTTGTAGGTACAAGCGCTGCTAGCTTTATTATAATAATTACAATATCATAGTTTCTTGGCACACCTATAGCCATAATATAATATGTTATTATAATGATATAGTTACTTGCTTGATATTTCGTCACTACCACTACCACCACGGTCTGAACACAATTTGTTGCGTGATTCATTTTTCCTGTCAGTCCGCCGTGTGAAATAACAATCACGGTGTTAGTATCGTTTGCGAGCGTGCGACTTCTCGCCCATAGTTCGTCCAAAGGAAAAACTTACTTGTCGTTCGGTTAGCGCTCATCCGCCGACTGTCAACTCAAGCTTTATTTGTAGTTTTTAAATACCAATAAGAAATTAACGATATTATGACGAAGACGGACGTTTCTGCCACTGACAGTGTACGAACTTGGCCCGATCGAATGACGGCGTGGCAAATCGACACTTACGCACCGTTTGAAGACTCGGCCGTGCTCAACGACAAGGCAGAGTTACCCGTGTCCCTCGGGCCTAAAGAAGTTTTGGTGCGTGTTAGAGCATCGTCTGTCAATCCCATCGACGTGCTCATGGCCGGTAAGTAGACAGTAGAAGTGCATGTTATATAGTCATACTTAAACCTAATACTTTATTAACTAGTGTTGCCTGGTGTTGGCCGAATTACGGTTATAAAATGTCTACCTCGCCATATTTTACGAGTATATTCCTTAAAACAATAATATCAACAGCAGTTAGTTTGTCAGTTCAATCTCAATTATTTGTCACAAAAAAAATGCATATTATTTTATACTATATTATACCTATACATTAAATACATTATAATTACATAATGGAAGTATCACGTCATATGTCGCAAATGTCAATAAAAGGTGAACAACAAATTAAAAACTTTTTAAAGATCTTATGTGTGCTGAATTTCTTTCTAAATTTTATCAATTTCTTGGATTTTGGTATTTTATGCAATTAATTATGTTTTTACGGCTTACACTTACTGAAAAGTTTTTCGTAACTATAAAAAAGTATAGTGTAATTCATTAAAAACAAAATATAATGAGGAAATTGAGTTAAGATTCAAAATAGTTTTCAAGCCGATTATAGCGGCTAACTGACATGTAATAAATATATCACATATTTGATGATTCAATATAGGTATGGGGGTTTTTGATTTTAAAATATATGTTATTCAAAACAGTAGCCACTAAAAATTAATTTAAAAAGTTAGATTTTATTTCTCCAATAATATGGTAAATGTTAGTATTTGAAATTAAAAATTTAAATTCCATAGGTATATATTATATTATTTATTATATTATATTATTTTATATATTAATGATACGTACATATATTCTGGTTTTGAATAACTTAAAATAAAACCATTATTTTTTACAAAATTACTGAAATAAGTTAATCTATGTATTATAAAAAATAATTAAATCACGTTAATCGTGGGACATGGGGTAACGTCTTTATAAAGTTATTATTATATTATACGCAGTCACTCTATAACTTAAGCCTTTGGTTAAACTTTTAACTTACTTTATTATAGTATTATGCGTGTGTTTTAATTATATATAAATGATTGTGATTTTTACTCTTAGAGGGTTATGGTCAAGTGCTATTGAGCAGGATCCGGCAGGCAAAAAAAAAATCACTGTTCAGGCCCGTCGAGTTCCCGATAACTTTGGGACGGGATTTTGCTGGTGAAGTAGTTGCAAAAGGAGCCGAAGTCGGCTCGGAACTCCTAGCTATCGGTGACGCCGTTTTGGGTGTCGTAGCTCCTTTCCAACACGGCTGTCACGCCCAGTTTGTCACAGTTCCTATAACTCAGGTAATGGTCGGTCGCCCATTCGCCCGTGTTAAACAACTGCTGTATATTTGTTTTCAATTTGAATAGTGATATAGTACCAAACATAAACTAAAACAATTTTTTTATGCTGTTGTAGATAGCCAGGAAGCCTGATTACATGTCCTACGAGGAAGCTGCGTGCTTGTTGTACACAGGCCTAACCACATGGTGCGCCTTGACGTCGGCCGGCGGTCTTAATGCTTCAAACGCTGCCGATAAGAACGTACTGGTTATTGGTGGATCCGGCGGTGTCGGTAATAGTGCGATACAGATACTCAAGTCGTGGGGCGCCAAGGTACTGTATAGGCGTAAAAATTGACATTACACTATATATTATGTAGCGACTTGGCTAAATTATCACCACACGTTTATAATATTTGATAGATTAGGTATAGCTAATTATTATATTAGTTTAAAACGTTTAATCATTAAAAAAATATCATTAAACCCTTCAACTAATTGTTTGAAAACGATAGAGCGATCACTCATGAATAGGTATTAGGTACTCGTATATTGCAAACCCATAATTTTACTATTATGTCGTGTTGTTTTGTTTTATAGACATTTAAATATTATACATTTTTTTTTTTTATGTCGATACTATTGTTTTTTCTTTAATAACTTATTAATGTTATACAATGTTCTTCATAAGTCGTTCTTAAAATTTGGAAATATCAAAAAAAGAATTTTTTTTTCATAAATTTTAATTAAGTTTTTTAAAATTTTTTTTAATTAAAAATGTATAACATTTTAATTTTAATAATAAATGCTTGAAAAATCGATACAAGATTTCACTTACATTTTTCTTACTAGAATTTAAAAAAAAAAGTTTTATATAAGCTGTATTATTTATTTATAAGCATTTGAATTTTTTGAATAATTAAATTTTTTTCTATAAATATAGATTATTTTTTCTTTGCGAAATTAGTGTATAATAATATAATAGTAATAAAGAAATTAATTACTCAAAGTAATATAAGTTGATAAATTATTTATTCGTTTATACCCATGGAGATTGGATTACTAACACATATATTATTCTGATGTCTGACGCATGCGAAATTAGAATTAGTTATGATATAAAACGATAGAAATATTAAACTTCAAACAAATAGGTAGATAGTAACTATTATATTTTTAGTTTTCACAGTAGAAGCCTTAAATCTTAGCTGATAAGCAAAAGTTATCTTACAATTCAGCTTAATGATGATATTAAATATCTAAAAATATTAGTTCCTTTTAGTAGTTATATTCCGTGATATTGTCTCCATTAATTAGCTAATCAATTTTAGTAATCAGTATTCACAATTTAAAAAACACCTCAACCAATTATTATTTAAATTATTAACAAACCAAACGATCCTAAAAATAGAATATTCTTCACTCTATAGTTCTATATTTTGCTTAAATAACTGGAAAATATATTATATAAATTATTAATAAAAAAGCTAATCAAAAAACCAAAAAATCCAGATATAGTAGTTATCCTTGATTTAAATGAATGTTCCAGTTTTCTAAATCATACACAAAATTACAAAAAATCCAATCACATTATTGAACAACAAAATCAATTTCTTAATTTACAAAATAATAATAACCTACATAATATGTTAATTTATGTTAAGTTTATAAGACACTATAAGTTATAACTTATAATCATTCATTATGTACTATTACCTATACTAAACTTATATTATATGTACGTATTTTTATAAATCAAAGATATTAATTCAAATCAATCAGGTATTTATTTTTCGAGATTTTATCTATATACTTAACATAAATAGGATTTTTCAATTTTTGTTTTTGTTCCATTCGATTGCTTTCATTAAATTAATTTTTTGGTGTATTTGAATTATTTGCGTTTTCGTGAAATGCATTAGATATTGGTACTTCTTTAATCAAATCAGTTTTAAAAAAAAGGAGTGGTTTTACCTCATACTTTGATATATCAATGTTTTCTTGTTTTCCAGAATTTGGAGTGAAAAAATATTGTAATAATTTATTGTGGTTTGCACTGTATTTTGGAAAGCATTCAAATTGATTTTCTAGTATGACTTGACATTTTTTTCGTGCATTTCCATTTATTATAAGAATTATTCATTTTAAAACATTGACTAAACAATTAAATATAATAAAGATAAACAATGGAAATATTCAGTTTAATTAATTCTATAGTTACCATTAAAACATTATTGTATTATTATGGTTATTATTAGAATAAGAGTTGATGCTACTACTGGCTAACAACTTTTTTTTAAAATAAATATTTTTTTTTACATTTACATTAATTTGAAAAATATAAAAATACTACATCAAAATATATTTATTTGAACATTTATAAATAATAGCTCAATATTTTTTGTTCAGCCAAATATGGACCTATGCTTTACTATATGTTTTGTGTAGATATAAAAAATATTTATATTTTATTGATTGTCATGTTATTTATAATACATCTACACATTATTATATAATAGTAAGAGTTTATAACTTGTGCGAGTAATTAAAACACCGTCATCATTCGGTCATTATGTCTGAAGATATTTTATAATTTATTTATATTAAGTATTATTATTAATTATTTTTTTTTATCAGTACAAAAACATTTTTTAAAATTATATTATGTCTATAAGATAATAATTTAAAAATTTGGTGAACAGCTTAAATTACTCTTATTAATTTTTAAATGATAAAAAAAAAAACGAATCTACATTTTCATTAAGTACAGGTGTTGTATAAATACACAACACCTATTGAATATTTATTCAATCAAATACCTAATCGTAGAAATTTCTTTAAAAATATTATACTTAAAATTATTACTACAAGAAAATTAAATTTTATTTTCGCTGAAAATTGTAAGACTGTTGTAAATATATAACTTCCTAGTTCATTAATTATTTAAAATATCAGAGATTTCTGAAGTAAGTAACCATTTAAAGTTTTAACCAATTATTTTCCAATTTATTATAAGGTACTATGTATTTAAACTTTAGTTGTAATAATTAGAAATTCAAAAGTCGGAGTAAATAGATTCATAAATAGCTAGCTAAAAATAATGAATGAACATACAAATAATTAAATAAACCATTGGTTAATATTATGCAATATCTTTTTCATTTAATTTAAAATGAATTATTTTTAAAAACAATATCCTTTGAACTTTGAAATATTATTAATTAATTATATTTTCTATTATTTAGGTAACTACTACGTGTAGTACAAATGCCATAAATTTAGTGAAAGAACTTGGACCAGATAATATCATTGATTACACTACCGTAGATGCACAAAAACAGTTAGAACAATATGGAAAGTATGAAAATATTATTAATATGTCTTATATTATTTATTTATAATGCTGGAGTATTGTTAATAATAATGCTGCAATATGGCATAAAAAATCGTTTGAATTTGTTAAAATGAGTTAAATTTTACCAATGATAGACGACAAAATGTGACGTATATGCAAAAAAATAAAATAAAAATTATGTACCTATGTATAAACTGAAAAATGTTGACTTAGGTAGTTATGTATACGGTACTTACTACTTATATTATATTGTATTATTTGTATTGTTGCATTAAACTTGTATTTTGTTCGTTTTATGTAAAATAGTTGTTAAATAATAATTGGTTAACGCAGTATTTTAGATTTTGAGTGAAGTTATACCGTATTACCAATAGTACAATAAATTACTAACAAACCTATAAGCATTTGAAATATAAATGTTTAGTAATATATAGGATGACTGAATCATTTTCGTATACAATGATGTATCATATATCATTGAAATTGAAATTTAAGTATTTAAAACACCTATTACAGTGACCCACTTGATATCTAATGTACAGTAGAACAGTACCAACTTGTCTTTAATTTTTACCGTTGTAATATTAATAATATTTTATAGGTACGACCTGATTTTGGATGCGGCCGGGATACCATATGAAGATATCGGTGGCGCGTACACGCCGCTGTTGAAACCTTGGTCGTGGGCTACATTCATCACCCTCCGCAGTCCTGTGTTACATAATACGGACTCGTATGGAGTGGTGTTCGGTATGTTGAAGAACGCGTACGATCTAGTTGTGCCGAACGTCTGTTCAGGTGCGGTGTTCAAAGGCTCCACGATCCGATGGGGATTTTTTATGCTCGCAGAGCGCGGCATAGCGGAACTGGCCCAATTAGCCGCTGAGAAGAAGATAACTGTTCCAGTCGACAGCGTTTACGAGTTTGCCGACATGAAAAAAGCGTTCGGTCGGGTAAAAGCCGGACACCTCCGCGGAAAGGTGGCCGTCAAGTTCGACGAAAAGTAACAGGAACGGCAGCGCTAACCTCGATTTCAGAATTTCAAGTGAACTGGAACGTTTATAATCATACATTTGGCTTGTTGGTGTAAAATTCGTTAGCATCTCCCTAAAAATATATATTTCCTGTATAAATTTAAATAGTGAAGTTCTAATTAATTATATTTATTTACTTTTATACATACTATTAACAATCGTGTATTATGTCCAATAGGTACTTAAATCCAATATTAATAGGTACACACACTAATATGTATTGTTAAAAGAAAATAATTTTATAAAAAATTGGCAATTTGGTAGTCAGAAGCAGTAAAGTTTATAAAAAATTAAATCATACATAAACATTTATAAAAAAAAAAAATTATCATGGTTAACAAACTTGCCTAATTTGTGTATGTAAAAAAAATATATTGTTCTATAGTCTGAAATTTAGTTTAGTATAAAGTCATGTACCTATGTCAATATGTTATTGATCAATTTATTTTTTATACAATTATTGTAATTTTCAATTATAAAACTATGTACCTATTTAATTAATTTAAATTATTTTAAATTAATTTCATCTCAATTTATTATATAAATATATATTAATAATAAAGATATATAAGCATTTCACATTGATTTATTATTTCATTAATCCAATAAATTATTAATAGTTATAAAACTATCTAAATACTGTAAATAACTACCATTTATTAACTTATGCTGAAATATATTTTTCTGGTGTACTTCGTTCGATTTACGTAATTGCTGTTATAAATCTATTGTTGATAGAATTTATTGAATTACAGTTAGTAAATTTAACATTTAAACAGACAAATTTTCATTTAACTCAGCGACTGCATTTTTAGTCAATAATTTTGGTATATCAGGATGAAAGAATTCCAAATAGTTACAAGGAGATTAACAATGTTAAAAGTACCTATTAATTGTTTCAACAGGAATTTATAATACAATAATTTTATTTTTCTATAGTTAGGTTTAAAATTCCTCAGAAAATACATTTTTAGAATAATATTTAAATAAAATTAAGTTTATTGTAAATTGTATGTTTGAAAACATAGTTGTTTGTTTTATATGTTATTAGTTTATAAATTATTAGATAACAAAATATATTTTTATTTTCACATTTCTTAAACAAAATTGTTATATAGTACATGTTTGCTACTTGTTTTATTAGTTCATCAGGTATTTGTGATAGATAACTATTAAATACCAAATAATAATTATT